CCGGAGGAAAAGAAAAAAGAAAAAACAGGTTCCAAAAAGAGCCGAGAGCACCGGCAAGTTCCAGATGGAGTAGGCGCCGCATCCCGCCTCCCCCAGATGGAACCCTGGTGACCAGAAGCCTCTACAAACACAGCTCGAGTATGCGGGAGCGAGGACTTTTTCTCAAATCTGCCGGACTACACCTCCCAGGTAACCTCTGATCCCGGAAGTCACACCCACAGCCCGCCCCCCAGCGCCATCTTTGAAACGTTCAGAATAAGAGAAGGAACACATGGAGGGTGCGGGATCCCGGAGGAAAAGAAAAAAGAAAAAACAGGTTCCAAAAAGAGCCGAGAGCACCGGCAAGTTCCAGATGGAGTAGGCGCCGCATCCCGCCTCCCCCAGATGGAACCCTGGTGACCAGAAGCCTCTACAAACACAGCTCGAGTATGCGGGAACGAGGACTTTTTCTCAAAACCGCGCGGCCGCGTACATCTCTCTATATACAAAGTGATCAATGAGAAGTAAACCACCCAATATTTCTCCCTGAAAATCAGAGTTAAGTTTGGAGCATGGCCACAGCCCCAGAAACACAAGGACTTAATGCAGAACCCAGCAGCTTAGAGCAGAAAAGTGAGCGGACGATGAGTTAACCCTGGCCATCATTTCTGCCCAGAGGGGAAAAGGGTGTTGCCCCATTCGCCCTCTCTTCTCTGGAAAGAAGGATGGCGGCCGCATGGGAGCCTTGTGGACAGCAGGTATGAGCCGGGGGTGTGGGGGCGACTAAAACCTCATGGGAAGGGGGGCGTTCCGGTCCGTCCTTCACGCCCTACCGAGGTCACCAGTTGCCCCCCACGAGCGGCTCTCCAGCACGGCCACAGCCCCAGAAGCACAAGGGCTTAATGCAGAACCCAGCAGCTTGGAGCAGAAAAGTGAAAGGACTGTGCGTTAATCCAGGCAATCATTTCTGCCCAGAGGGGAAAGGGTGTTGCTCCCTTCCGCCCTCCTCCCTCTGGAAAGAAAGATGGCGGCCACATGGGAGCCTTGTGGACAGCAGGTATGAGCCGGGAGTGTGGGGGCGACTAAAACCTCATGGGAAGGGGGGCGTTCTGGTCCGTCCTTCACGCCCTACCGAGGTCACCAGTTGCCCCCCACGAGCGGCTCTCCAGCACGGCCACGGCCCCAGAAGCACAAGGACTTAATGCAGAACCCAGCAGCTTGGAGCAGAAAAGTGAACGGACTCTGCATTGATCCAGGCCATCAAGTCTGCCGGAGGGGAAAGGGTGTTGCCCCATTCGCCCTCTCCTCTCTGGAAAGAAAGATGGCGGCCACATGGGAGCCTTGTGGACAGCAGGTATGAGCCGGGAGTGTGGGGGCGACTAAAACCTCATGGGAAGGGGGGCGTTTCGGTCCGCCCTTCACGCCCTACCGAGGCCACCGGTTGCCCCCCGCGAGCGGCTCTCCAGCACGGCCAGGACTCCAGAACACAGAAACCAATTTCTTAACTATCTGACTTTCAGTAGAAATACTTCCAGGGTCAATAGGTAAAAGAGCAGAAATCCAAAACCAACATTTAATTCTTGAACCCAGCCGTAGAAAGCAAATCACTTCACAATGCTTTTACAGCATGTCTGATTTGGGGGGGGGGGGGGTAAACTCTAAATAATAGTGGTGAATCTTTTATTGAAACAATGAATCTAATCAAAGCAGATAGAGTGTTAACTAGAATTCATCTGCTTCACAGGGACGGGGAGGGGTGGGGGTGGGGTTTTACTGGGGTTCTTCATGGTAAAAAATAAGTATTGGTAAAGGGAAATGTGTTTGATATTTGCATGACTGAGACATAAACCTGAAAGCTTTGTAACCTTTCCCACAGTGATTCAATAAATAAAAAAAAAAAAAAAAAAAAAAATAAAAGTCTCTTGTAACTCAGGAAGAGTACATACGAGAAAATTGGGGGGGGGGGTTCTTTGGTTTGGGGGCCCCTTATGGTGGTACTTAAGGATTATTCCTGGATCTGGGCCAGAAATTCTCCAGCCCTCTCCCCCAATTGTTTCTAAAATATATTATTTGGAAAGGAAAGGGTGAGGAGAAAAGAGAAGGTCAATCTGATCTTAAGGTTGGCACTGGAATCATGATGGTGCATACAATGAGGCTCATACACATGTAGAGGCATGGAAATGCACTCTAGAAAGTTATATAATGTTGTAAACCAATAGTGAAATAAAATATGTTAGCTGAAAGCATATATCATTCATCCAGTGAATGCATATTGAGTGCCCATTCATAGCAAATGTTTCACCTATTCCAACATTACAATAAGATATAGATTCAGGGACCTGATAAATAGCTTAAAGGACTGGAGCACATTCTTTGCAGTACATTCCTTGCACACTAGAGCCTGGGGTTCAAACCATACCACCCACATCCTTCTCTGCATGCCCCCCCCTCCTTGCAGCACGGGAGACAACCACCAAAATAGTCTCTCAAGAAAAGCTGGGTATGATCTCACAACCAAATTTTCAGAATAGAGAAGGAGATTTTTATCTTTACTTAAATTTCTCACAGACAACTTGAGGAGACAAGAAGAATTGAAATTCCATAGAGTATGAATAGCCCCATGCTGGGGCAGACCCAGGGTTTGCCAAGCATCTCCAACACAGAGGGAAGCTCCATTGCATTGAGGAGAAGTTGTCTGAGGAGAGCTATAGAACCTGTGGAAGAGTGTTCTCCCTTCAGAAGAGAGACGTCTGAGTAACATATAAGCACATATCTAGTAACATATAAGCACATATCTAAAAAATTCAAGAATCTCTTTGAATTCAGCACCCCAGAAGCTCATGGAATTCAGCTTTGTAGGACATTTAATGGAGGTTTAAAACAAGTATTAAAGCTTTGACCAGTGGAGATTAGATTCCCAAAAGTGTTGAGAGAGAGAGAACTGTCGGAAGTTCTAATCCTCTAAATCCATGGTTGGTTTTCCCCAACAACCAGCCACCATTCTTTGTCTACTAAGAGCTTTCCAAAAGTCAACTGGGTAACATAATTAAAGACACCTTTATCCCTCCCAATATACTTAGAATACTTTAAGAGTTTCAGGATCTCTGAGTTAGGACAGTAGCAAAGACCAAAGATAGACTTCTTATAAATCACAGTACCCCAAGAAGATAGGTGATTGATCATTCAGAAGTTTAGGGAGAGCTTTCTTCTCAAAAGAATAGTGTTAGACTGTGTGGGTAAAGGGAGCACACACGCTCAAGAAGAACCAAATTATCATTCTCATCTGGGCAATGTTTGAGTTTGATCTTTCCCTCCTTCAATTCTCCATTCATACATACTTCCATTCATGAGGTCTTTAGTGAGTGCTTGGCATTTGAAAGAACATCCTGGTTTCCAGGGATCTAGTAGTGAACAAGTTGTTCCCCTCATCTAAATTCTACATTTGAGCTAAGGACTTCTGCATCCCAAATCATTTAGATTTAGTCCGGGCCCATTTGAATTGCAGTTTTAAAGGGCTGCTAAGGAGAAATAGATATAATGAGGGTTAAGAGTTAGAAAGTGCCTTGAGATACACAAGCAGACTGCAAGCAATTCTGACTTAGGGTGAAGCTGGCCAAAGTAGGCCAAAGAATAGGGAACTTTGAATTCCAGGCTAAGGAGTTTATAATCCAGTCTCTTCATCTTCCTGACAGTCATGGGAAGAGAATGCAATTTTGATTCAGAGAGACCTAGCTTTGACTCTTGCCCAGGACTCATATAAACCATGTTTAAGATTCAGCATGTCTCTGCACTTCTCTGAGTGTCAGTTTCCTCACCTTTAAGATGAGAGACTAACAGTCCCCAGGAAAGCCACTTGCATAGTTCCCAGAGAAAAACAGTCACCCATTTCCCTTCCTTGTGACACATGAAAATGTTAGCTCACCTTTGCTAGAATTATCTTTCTAGTGAGTAGGAGGGCTGACCATTCGCGCCTGTAGCTGTAAAACATCATTTCCTTGAAGCTAAATAGCCCTTAAAGGACCAAACTCTTAAGTAGATTTGCACACTAAAAAACCTAGAAAAATAACTTAGATGTCATTAGTGTCCAGCCAGAATCCTTTCTTCATAGCTTTATTTTGCAACCCTTATTCCATCATTCTATTTTGACTCTCTTCCCAAATCAGCCTGTGCATCAGAATTCACAGAGTGCTATTGAAAATTCTAATTCCTTGGCCTAGTTTCAGATATACTGAAATAGCCTCCCTAGAAGGAATCTTGCTTTTAACAGCTGCCCAAGCATGCGGGATCCTTGTCCATATTTCAGAACCTACAGTCTCACTCTCTCACCCTCTTGCTCATTGCTCACTTCCTGTTGTTCTAGTTCATGAGTAGTGGGGCAGTGGTTGGTTCTGAAAATGAGGTTCCCACAATCACATCATCACCTGACACTAGATAGAAATGCAAAAAAACCTCAATCCCACCCCAGGGTGACTAAATGAAAGAGGGTGGGGGGAGACCATCAGTGGAAGAAGAAGAAGAAGAAGAAAGAAAAGGGAGAAAGGCAAGGTACCTCTGCATCTATGGAGCATGGATTTGCTTGTTTCATTTGACTCTTGGAGTCCACAGTCTAGCTCTGATGTCGATTCATGCTCAGTTCCTCTGGGAAAAGAACCTTTCATAAGTTGAGCAAGTCATACTTAGTCCAGGCTGATATTTGGCGTCATTCTTGAGCCAGTGCATCCTTTCCTGTGGACCTTCTGGAATGTGGAAACCTAAGACCGAGGGGGCTGCCTAAAGAGCTGGAGTAAAAGATTTTCTTCCCCACACGTCTCCACATTTAGGAGGCTGCATGAGGGAAATTCCAGGCCATCTGGAAGTGAGAGAATGGTCATCATCTCCCCTTGTTCCAGAGGCCCGCCTTTCAGAGTTAGCATTACATCACTGGTGAGGTGATTAGGACCCAGAAAAATGCTTCCACGTTGTGATGGGATGGCCAGGGACATTAAGGCAAAGTCTCAGGCTTTCTCTTCTTGTCTCCACAGGAGATCCCCTGCTACTAGTCAGCCTCCTGTCTCCAGAGTCAACCTACAAGGTAAGCCTTGTTAAGAGGTCTCTTGCCTCAGACATGTGTCTCTTCTTCAGAACCTTCTAAAGAACAATAGTTCTTTTTTTGTTTGCTTTTTTTTTTTTGCTTTTTGAGTGGTGCTCAGGGGTTATTCCTGACTCTGCACTCAGGAATCACTCCTGGTAGTGCTTGGGGAACAATATGGGATGCTAGGGATCGAACCCGGGTCGGCCATGTGCAAGGCAAACACCCTACCCGCTGTGCTATAGCTCCAGCCCCAAGAACAATAGTCTTAATGGACACAATGTGGACTTCAGAAGTGTATCTTTTGGGTGGCTTTTTTCAAGGGCACCCTGGAGCTTTGATTCGTCTTAAGGGAAACCAAATGAAACTTCTATGAAGTGCACATCTCCCATGCCCGTGACAGTTATGCGGCAACAACGCTTCTCAGAAGAGTTGCAGTAGGTAGAGCTGTGTGGAGAGCACAACTTGACCTCGGCTTGCTGGCCCCAGTGAACTCCAGGAGTGCTAACCTCAAAGGCCCCCAGTTCCCTTCACCTTGACCTAAGGGCCCCTTTGGGGATGTTAGTGGTTTTCCTCTAAGTGTCAACTAGAGCTCCCACTTGACTCTACATCCTTGCCAGGTATGAAACCCAATACGTTTTCCAGGTCACAAGTCATTTCTCTTGGAGGTCATCCAGCTTTGTTTCTCAAAGGTTTTTTTTTTTTTTTTTGGAAAAAAAGAAAAGAAAAGAAAGAACGAACTAACCTCTCCACTTTCTGTACTTAACCTTCACTTTTCACGTTGAGGTGAGAGGTGCAGATGGAAGGGCCACAGTGTCCCAACTACCATGGAGATGTGTTGAACCACCCAGATAAACTCTTCTTGACCTTCATATTAAGCCACCATGAAGAACAAGATGAACTCCTGAGCTCTCCTGGCCCTGTGGTTGCTCCATGTCATGTGTCTGTTTGGAGCAAGGCTGGTTCCTTGCTTTTTACTTCCCATCATTCTCCTTGGAGGTGGTGTTCTCTTGTAGCCTGCATGCAGTAAGAACAGAAATAATACCCAAATCCGACTTCTAAAAGAAAGGAACAAAGGCATCAGGTTCCATTGGTCTCATGGTTTCTGAAGTATTTATGGCACCTGCTTTTAACAATATTTATATGAGGAAAAGATTGATAACAAGAAGAAAAGTGAAAGGAAGGTATTAAGCAAAGGTGAGTTTATCTCGGGAGCTACAGGATAGGAAACAGAGGTAAAAATAGTCCTCTCTCCAAAGACTTCAAAAACCTGGTGTACTGATGGGCTATTTTCTTCAGAAGTTTTATAAAAAGAAACATAATAGAGTGTTTTAACGTATAACTGATGTTACATACTTGGAAATCAAAGGAGGTGGTTTTGAAATGTCATTTCATCATATTGGCCCACCAGTGAAATCCCGTTGCCCACACTTCTGCCAGCCAAATTCACTGTGATGTTTTTTGACTTAGATTTGCATATTTAAAGTATGTTTTCTTATCTTGCAACAAATACCAACAAACATTGAGAGCATATGTGATACTTATGGTTCTACAAATCAGCTCATTAGTCAAAGATGCTCTTGGAAAGATGATTTTTGTGGTTATTGGCACAGTTAACTACAGCTTGGCAACTCAAAATTCTTTTGCTGAATTCTTTTCAAACAATGGAGCAAAGAAAATGACAATACCACTTAGGCAATTTGTTTTTGTCTGTCTTTGTGGCAAACTGCAAAAATTTTGGCTTTTCAATGGGAAGAAAATGTAACGATACCAATTATTACATAATTATAGGTTTCAAAATCTTAACGCTTAACCACAGTCAGAAAAGGAAGGAGGACGCATCCTGTGTTTTGTTCTTATTATCAGCTTAAATAAGTCAGGCAGATTTTTCCTGTTATTTTAATATTTATCAGCATATGACAAAGAGGTGTGTTTAAATAGAAACATTAAAGGGGAATGAAAAATAAGTATCTCAGAGCAAACAGATCTGAAAGCCGGAGTCCTGCTTTAAAAGATGGTGCATTTCATGATAATGAGATTAAGTTTTTATTTATTAGCACTGAAGTGGAAGTCATGTGTTTCAATGGACACATAAAAGATGGAAGAAACCCAGATCATTTGAACATATAAGGCAACAATCTGGTTAGGAAAACTTCACGGACTGAAGTGATTAGTCTTGCAAAGAAGCACATTTGAGAGAGAGAAGGGTGAACATCTTTTAAGAGCCTGTTTAAAAGTACAACTTATTTTAAAAGCTAATTGTCAGAATCCCTGGTTAAATTGGTATTTTGATATTCCAAATTGATCATTAACTGCACCATTCAGGGGGAATCAAAGCAAAACTCTTAACAGTACTATTTCACTGTGTAAGGAAAACTACTCTTTCCACCACACAAATTTTCCTTCTCTCTAAGACACCCTATTTTTTTTTATATCTGTGATTGTTCCTTTTCTTTTTCTGTCTTTATTTAAAGCTATAACAACTATTTTATTTCTGAATATATTGTAATTCTTGCTTTCTCTCTGCCCTAGCGGCGCTCCTTTGAAGGTAGGGACTATATCTTACCAATTGCTTTATCATCTAAAAGCTTTAATATAGCTATTTTCACATAGTAGGAAGAGAGTAGAGAATAAATTGACTGGGAGAACTATGTAAATTTGAGGAAGTTTATCATTTGAAAATGCCCCTTCATTTAATTTTAATCATGAGTCAGTTTCATCTCTGTGGTGATAAAAAACAATATTTCGTTGTGTGTTTTTACTGATAAAAAATTCATTTTGGGAACCAGAGAGGAAATGCAGGAGTTAAGGCACTTGCCTTGTATGCAGCTGACCCTAGTTGGATCTCTGGTACCACATTTCAATCCCCAAGCACCCCCACGAGTGATTTCTGAGCACAGAACCAAGACTAAGCCTTGAGCTTGTCAAGTGTGGCCCAACTATCTCTTCTACAAAAAAGTCAGTTATGTGGTGTGGTAAAATTTAAAGATGTCAGGGAGATTGTGTAGTGGACAAGGCACTTGTCTTGCATGTAGCTGACCCCAGGTTTAGTCATTGACTATATATGTAAATATATATATATATATATGTCACTTAACTTCCCGTTAGTCGTCGATTTGCTCGAGCGGGCGCCAGTAATGTCTCCATTTGTCCCTGTCGCGTGCTAGTGTAGCCCAATGGCATCTGTTTGCTCCGGGAACATGAATATATATATAATATATATATATTATATATATATTATATATATAATAGCGGTAGGGCGTTTGCACGCAGCCAACCCGGCCAAGCCAGGTTCGATTCCTCCACCCTTCTCGGAGAGCCGGCAAGCTACCGAGAGTATCCTGTCCACACAGCAAAACCTGGCAAGCTACCCGTGACGTATTCAATATGCCAAACACAGTAACAACAAGTCTCAAAATGGAGATGTTACTGGGCCCGCTTGAGCAAATCGATGAACACCGGGAGGACAGTGCAGTGCTACAATGCTACACACACACACACACACACACACAGATAAAGATATAGATATAGATATATAGATATATATTCCTCTAAGCACAGAGTCAGGAATAAGTTCTGAGCACAGCCAGGTGAGCCCCAAAAATCAAAAAGAAAGAATAAATGTTTGAATAGACTCAATAACTGCTCTTATAGATCAGGGTCATGGAAGTTTTTGCATTTTAAGCAGGAAAACCTGAGTAAAGGAATAGAAAACTGAGAATCTAGGAAGGGTGGCAGTATGGACCATAAGGGCTGCCATATTCATGAGCCATAAACAGAGCCCTCTCCTGTCAATGGAAATACTGATGCTGTATAAGGCTCAGGAGGAGCTCAGTCTTGATCACATTTTGCCCTTCTCAAGCCTGCATTCCAGGCTTTCCTGATCAGAGGCACAATTCTTGGAAGAGAAAGGGAAAAAAATAGAACATTCTCCAACAAGATAGGAACTTGGGTTCTGTCATCTCTGCACATTCAGAGGACACTAGGAAATGGAAAATTGAAGTATTCACAGGATTTCAGGCCTCAAAACTTTTTCAACAACAACAAAAATTCAAATAATTGAGGAAAATCGATATGTGTATGTGCATGAGTGTGTGCGTGCCTGAGTGTGAATGTATGAACATGGGTGTTTGTACCTGTGTATGTATGAGTGTGTTAATGTGTGTATGAGTGCATGTATATGGATGAGTATGAAATAATATTCTATTTTTCCCCCATCCTCTCCTCTCTTCTGCCTTTGCATGAATTTCTATAGTGATTGTACTTGCAATTTTGAAGTGAGAATTTTCTCAAAAGATACATTACGAAGTGTTTACTGCCTTTTCAAAGGATCCTTGTCCTTACAAAACAAATAGAGAAACATTCCTTTTAATGACTTGATCTCTAATTCTTATAGATAAGGATTGGTTTATCATACTTATGTGCTGTTTTCTAGCCCCCAAATTGATGGGTAAGGTGGGATAACCTATGCTTATTTTCCTCTTCTAAAATTTACCACTAAGCATGTCAAGCAGGAGCTTCTCCGATATGACAGTCCATATCTTGGGTCATCAGAAATGACAGCAGATAATGCCACAAACATGACCAGAGAATCGCCTTGAGGGCCCATAAAGATGTCTGAAGAGCTGAAGTCCCCCAGCTGGGTGACCACAGATTTGGTTATGGTGGTCTTCAGCACTAGTCCGTTAGATACCTTTCAAGAAAAGAGTGTGGATGGAGAAATGGGACAAAATAAACAGGCGTTTCTATAGTGAAATTTTTTGCCTTAGTGTGAGACAATTTATTTCTTAGCCCTCATGGGAATCCATTTTTCCCCTCTCTTTGCAGGATTCTTTGGGGAGAAAACTCTTCATTGGTTGATAAAACAGAAAAAGAGTCTTTCTCTTAAGAAACCTCTTTCTCAGCTTGGCTTCCTCTCATATGATATGTGTCCCCTAGGTATAGGGACTGCTCAAGAAGTAGAGAGGGCCTTGGCCAGTTATCTTGGGCTCTAAGGAGTTCAG